TTTTCCAGCAAAAATGAAGAGGGAAAGTTGAATCTCATTTTATTGTAAAAAGTTTTAATTACGGGAATATGCTGCACTTTTTCTTAGATGCTGCCCCTGTGCTCTTAAGTCCATCAGCTTAGAATTCTGCGATTACATAGGGAAATTCAGATAATCAAAGGCTTCAGAATAGGGTGAATATGGGAGGGGCTGGAAGGGTTATGTGGAGGATTTGGAGCAATTGGACATGTGCTAGTTCTTATCTTAGAACCTTATTTTGTTAAGGTGCCCATGACAAGTAAGAAAAATTACTTTTTCCATGATTCCAGAATTATATGACCTGGTAGTCTGGAAGAAAAGAAAGAATCTCATAATATTTGGCTTCTGTGGACTATTCATGCAGTGAAGCTATTTTTTTTCCTAGAGAGTTGAGGATGTGTAGGAAGCTGAGCCGTGCAGTGTAGTTAGAACTGAGGAACAGTGCATCTAGTCTGTGATAGCAGTCTGGCCAGTGAGTGACCACAACAAAAGAAAGACTCAACTTTGTAAAACAAATGATTCTTTGACTGTGATAAACCTCTTGCACATTCAGCACGAGGAAGAAAAACAGATACTTAGGTGCAAAAAACAGGACTTAGAGAGCAGTGATGGATTGGTCTTTAAAAGAGTGCTAGTTTGGGGGAAAAAAATAAATATTTCTTTTACTAACTTAGATGGGGACACTTTAGCTAGTCCAGTGTTTAAGGTTGTACCTGTAACACACATCTTAGAGCTCTGTAAAGAGCTACCTGAAACAGAGGTAAACAAGCAATCCAGGTACTGAAGACAATCAGGTTTCTAATAGTAAGGAACTTAATTTATCCTGTTTAAGAAAACACTGGGTTTGAATTCCTTGGCTGTTCTTTCCTGCTTACACATTTTAAATCGTCAGTGCAGCCTGCAGTGAAATTAATGGATTACAGAGGTGTCATTTTGTTGGTTGTGATGCTGCTTCTGGGTAAGTATTGAGTAAAAAAATCCCGGATCCCTCTCTGCCAGGTTCCTTGCTTTTGCTTTGCTGATCTGAGCTGAGGTGCACTTGCTGTAATATGACATGAGATCCAGCACTGTATTTCTGCCGACAGACTTCAAGTTCTCCCTTCTCTTACTGGCATTGACATGAATTTCTGCAGAGAGAATACTGTGGACAGCACAGCAGTAAGGATTGTAATCCTTTTCATTATAAAACTCAACGAAAATCTTCAGAAACTCAACATACCTCGTCTGCCAGGCTTTGTGCAGTAATTGCTTTTGTATTTCTGCTGAGACACAGTTCTTCAACAGAGTGCAAGCCAGGAGGAATGACTGTAGAGGAAGTGTGATGCTTTTCATTGTAGTTCCAAGCTGTTTCCCAGTTTACTTTCTGGCATATCTAATGGCATGGAGACAAAGCTCACAGCCCATCTGCATGAAAAGGAGGGCACAGGGCTGATTTGGATGCACTCAAACTGATCAGAGAAACTCGAAATAAGGGCACCTGACAGATTCAGGGGGTTCTGGGTGGAACAAAACCTTTAGAAGTCTCAAGAGAATAACACATGGTCTTTCAATGACATGTCTTTCAATGAGTTCTCTCATTTTCACATTGTTCTTTAGTATGAAATGGTTAACAGAGATTCCACCTGCCTGTTCCACAAGTAGGTCAGCATTTGATAACTGCATTAAAATTGGCCTTTCCTAAATCCTCTCTCTCACTGTAATCCTTCCTGTCCCTCTCAATTTCCTCATGTTCTAATGCCCCATTATGGAGAAAATGTTGAGTCTTTTTTCAGATTATTTCAAAATTCTCACTTGCAATGGAGCTGTTTTGTTTGGATCACATTTCTTCCCCAAAAGCTCCTGGAGATAGACATCACAGATATGATGCCATATGAGAAAGAAGGTTTTGTTATGCTCATGCAAAATGCCACGTCTTTTTCTATTGTTCTGAAAAAAACCCAAAACAACCAAAACCAAAAAAAAACCCCAAAGTATTTTGGGCTTGTGAAAATATCTCACAGAATATATTCAGAATATTTAAATATCTTTAGTAATTTAACTCTCAAGCCTAAAATTCAGCTCATTTTCATTGTGGCCTATCACTTCTGGTGTGACATTACTGAAAACCTTCTGATTAAAGCCAGCTCTCTTATGCATACTTTACCTCTGTGACCTGTGAGTAGCTTGAAACCATTTGAACTCTGTCTAAATTGGATCCCCCTGGTTGTAAGTGTTACTGCATGTCAGTTCTATGTCAGTTGGATGGAAATCTTGCTGCAGAGGATGAAAGTTCACAGCTCAGTATTAATCTACTGGGCAAACTACATCTAATGCCTTCAGTTTTCTTGAAATACAGCTTCTGATGACCTCTGACAGGCAAAATACAATATAGGATTTTCTAATATTCATTTTTAGTGTAGCTATTTAAAATCTAGCATGTATCATCCTTCTGTACCAAATAAATGCTGTGAGAGACAAAATTAAGAATAGTGACAAGCGGATTATTGGACATGGAGACTTTTGTTAATCAAATATGTCTGGGTCCATTACTTCACAATTGTCTTGAAACAGAAAATGCAAATCCAGGCTTCAGTAAAGGAGGCTGTGTACAGATGAACTGCTGCCTGGGATTCCCTTGATATCTGTGGGATGAGACTTTCAAACTGCTGTGTGAGGTCAACAAAAAAAATCCTGAAGCCACATGGCTTCTGGAGCAGACAGCATAAATCACTGAGTGCTGGTGGAGTCTGCCTTTAACTCACAAATAAGAACTTTGAATTTAGCACCAGCTACTGTTTAAAAGAGAATCTGTATAGATTTGTGCAGCTTAAATGACACCATTATCAACATCCTGTGTTACACAGTGACACCTTTGCTCTTGTCAGTTTTAGGGAGTCCTGCAAGTACATTACATTGCTTTTGAAGTGACTTTTTTTGGACATAAAATCCAAGCCTAAAAAGGAAAAATGTCTGATAGGTGCAGGTCTGTAAGTCTGCAACTTATCTCACTTCTGTTTAAACTAACAGCAGAACTCATACCTCTTTCAGAGGAGCAAGATTGACTTTTAAATATTTAGTTAGAATCTGAAAGGAAATGGATCCTGCATTCCTTGCAAATCCTAAATTGTCTGTGAAAACAGTGGGATTTGGTAGGAGGAAAGAAATCTAAGATTAAGCTCTGTTTTGCAGTGGGATGATACTAGTTCTGGGAGGGAACTAGTTTAGGCACTAGACATGAATTATATTCATCTTTCTCAAAGCCCTGGTTCAGTCCTACTGAGGAGAACTGGCAAAGTGTTCTTGTGCTAGGCCTGAACGGAGCCCTTGGTTCTTCAAGAAGCCTGTGCTTCAGCCCCCAGTTTAAAAGAGAACTTTCAGCCTGTAGAGGGTGTACCTAATCAACAGTGTCTTTTGAGCCCTTCCAACTCCTCTTATGCTGTAGCTACAGTTTGTCATTACATTGCCATTTGATAAGTCAGACAAAGTATCTCATCCGATGACTCTCATCCTGTCATTCCTCTTAGGGAAATACAAAACAATAGTAATAAATGAGTAAGGTATGGCCAGAAGTATTTTAAGACAGTGGCAATTGGATCAGTTCTTGGACGCTTTAGGAGCATATTTTCCTGTTGTTTCCATTTTTAAACCCAGACTTCTAAAACCCTGACAGCCTGACTCTTTTTTCCTGTGAGTCACACAAAGGAACAAATTTTTGATTGCAACATGTGCAGAGCCCAGGGTTTGAAATTTTGGAGTCCTCTTCTGTCAGAGGTTCTAAAACCTACTATGGAAAGACCCATCTCAGACATTGGAGTAGCTCCCTGTGGATGCAGTGTTTGGGTCACACTCATCTCTGGGAGCCCAGAGCTCACTCAGCAGTAGCACCACAGAAGTTTCCTGTAAGTACATCTGCTGTACATATTCTGATATAAATATAGAATCACAGCATAGGGACTCTTACAACAATGCAGCGAGGACAAAGTATTAAAAAAAAAAAAGAAAGAAAAAGAAATTAAGCAGCTTGCAGACTGTGGCAGTTTTGTGACCGGTGGGCTTTAATCATTGATTTTTGCTTTGTTAATTTGGCAGTATTGAACGTGGGTAACTGTAGCGTTCAGATCAGACAAACATGTGGGAAAGAGCACACTGATGAAAATCCCTCAGCAGATAAGCGAATGTTTCACAGCAACATGAGTGTGTGCAGCTCCATCCTGGACTGAAAGAATTGAAGTTGGGGCTGACAGCGGCGATCTCTTCCTTCACTGCTCGTTGGCTCACCCTACGCATTTCGATAGAGACCCTCAGATATGGAGAAGTAACTTACCCATTGTACAACTCCCGTATCTGGTACATTTTCCTTTGAAGCTTACAGAGTGCTTTATGACTAAACTTGAAAGAATAGAAAGAAGCCAACAACAGTGGATGAAACAGTATGATTTAGTAGGTTTTGCATATGAAACAGCTGACTAAAAGATCACGTACACTTAAATAAGAGGTTTTTTATATCAACAGCTAATGTCTAATCTCAAAAATTAGGGTCTGATCTCAAGGCAAAGCAGAATGTCTGCTCTTTTCAATTATATCCATTTAACTAGAAGTAAAGCTGTGGATTTTAGTGGGATGAAGGTGATTCTGTATCTTTTGCTATCTGATCCAAAAACATATAGTCTTTAGTCTGAAGTTTGGCCATAACCTTAAATATGTATTTGTCCGGGTTTATTCTAGATTTTGACCTTCTTAAGGTTAACAGGTCGTTTTAGATTGGAAAAAATCATTGTCAGACTATTAGTTTATCTTGCACGTGGGTAGAGACACAGGCTAATCTGGGAAAGTTTTGTGTGTGGCTTTGTTTTAGAAGCTGTAGCATTTTGTAGGCTTGGCCCCATACTGGCTACACCACTGGGCTTGTGGAAAGTTGGAACTGAACCCCTATGTTTTCCTTTGTCTCTTGCATTGCCATTTTTGTATTTTTAATTTCTTCCCTTTTCGCTTCTCCTTTCCAGAGGTGAGACACCTCAGTGGATGGGTCACTGTGCCAATGAGGTTGCTACAAACAGACACTGTGACTCTGCTTCTCTCAGCGACCGTCAAAGGCTACGCTGTGTGCAAATCTGAATGCACAACAGGAATCCACAGGAACCCTGGGGGCACAGAAAGGTACCCTGCTTAAATTCTAACTGAGACTTATAATTGATTTTATAAACTGGTTTTCTTTTCGGAGGCTCTTTTTACAACAAGATCACAGTTTGGAATGTACAGTAATAACATCACAAAAGATGGAATTGTGGTCAATAGGTCTGAGGGGGGGGAAAAAACAAGATAAATAGAAGGCTCCTCAAGTGCATGGTTTGGGTTAACAGTAACCGGCAGAAAAAATGACTTTTTAACACATAGGATTTGAGACCACCTCATGGGAAGAGATGATATCAAACCCCATGGAAATCACACCTACATTAGTTTAGAGACTTGAATGTGTTACCAGAAAGTCCTCTTAAGATTCCACTTACCCTTTTTCTACTAAGCCTCCTATCTGTATATTCCCTAACAGAAAGGAGTCTTCTAGATATTTGTTTGCACAACTTTCTAGTTAGGCTTGTTGATAATTACTCTGGATAAATCCATGTGCAGAAACTTCTCATTACCATTCTTTCAAAGTGTGATACAGGACCTTCAAGAGATGTTTGTTTATAGATATTTTCCTTTTCGTGGTTTCTGCCGTGTGTATGTCATGGCGAGATTGAAGGTATAGTTTTGCTAAACTTTCAGATTTTAAAAACTAGTGCTTGGTATTCCACTGCTTGATCTTGATGATTGTCTTTTGTACATAAAAACATTGATGTGAAATGTAATAAATGTCCTGAAATAAATATTTTAATTGATAGTAGCACAGTTTCCATAATTTCTTTGTCTTGTTTTATTGTTTGTTCATGTGCTTTTTGTTTTCTTTTTTTCCCTTATTCCCAGTCCTTGTTCAGCTCTACAAGCACACTGCAAAGTGTCAGGAGGAATAACATATAGCTTGCAGTCCATCATCTGCATTCCCTTTGCATTAGGTGTAGCACTGGCATGAAAATCAGAGCCCCTGCTCCAATTTTTCCAGCTGTCTCTGTGTCCCTGTGATCTTTTTGTACAAATTTTCTGGCAAGTCTACAAATATGCACGCTTATATCCCTTTCTTGGGCATGCATATGCATTTTACTATCTCAAAACATGGGTACAACTGAATGGAATCATTAGGGGTTTTTCCTCAGTAATTCGAGTGTGTTTGCTGGTGTAGGCAAACATCAGTAAACAGAACATACACACAGCATCAAAAAATACTATATCTTCTTCCTTTGTCCTCTTGCTCTCAGATTTCTATGTAAGTTTGTTTTGTTTTCATTCAAAATGTATGAATAAAGCAATATCAGGATCTTTTCACTGCCATCTTCAGGTCTTATTTATAGAGTACTTTCACAGCTTCAGGAATTGTTAACTTTTTAGGCAATAAATGTCATCTTGCTTCTGAGGTTACGTTTGTTTTATTTTCCTTAGTAATATTATTGCTTTAAAACTGTAATATGTTTTCTATTTTGGTATTTTTCTGTTGCCCCAAGGGACTTGAGCTGTAACAAGGATTTGCATTGGCTACAGTGCTGTTCTTATTCTGCACATGGTTATGGGTAGACGGGAGAGAGTGCCAGGGCTGAACATGATATTCTATTGGAACAGCTTGTGCCAAGATTTGGGCTTGAACAATTTGGAGGAGACATGATGTCACTGTCTCTGTAAAGTGAATTTGAACAGGACAGTTGTACTGTATTTTGGGCATGTGTTTTAAAAATAACAATTAAAATAATATCTTGTGTGTTTCCTTATTTTTTTTTGTCTTTGCTCTCTGGTTTCACAGCCTTTGCACTGCATTTCTTGTGTCCTGGTGGTATTTCTGTTTCATTATTTTTCAAGCAGAGTTTGATGACACTGATTTAGCAGTTTCTCACAGTTCACTGCTCCAGTTTTCATCAAATTATACTTGTAGTTATACTAGACACTTTCATCATCAATTTCCATATGCCTCAAAGACATGCAGGGACCAGTTTGCCAGCACTGAACTCAAATGCCAGACAATAACTGGAATACAGGATTTCTTTTCCTAGGGTGTCTGAGACAAAGAGCGTAGAATCCTTCAGGTTTTAGGAAGTGTTTTCAGCCTGAACGCATTAAAAATGTAGACAATAACTGCTATGAAATATTGGTTTTGAAATGTCAAATCAAGGGATAAAAATTAACATTGGTTAAACGGTAAGACCTTAGCCATTTCTTTCTAGAAACCTACCTTATATTAGAGAGCACTGCTTTTAAATTTAAGGTTCTCTCTTTCCCCACAGAATCAGAGGATTCATAAGCAACCTGAACTATATTTTCTGTACAGCTAAGTTTGATAATTATGATAATTAACACACAATAAACATTTCACCTTCAGGCTCTAGGTTTACGTGTACCTTCAGATCAGCAACGTTACTGGGGACATTTAAAGTGACAAGACTCCTGAGAACGACTGTGAAAGTCTTTTCCTTCATTTAGGGGGTCTTGGTTGCTCAGATTTGAAAGATGTCCATGCTGGAAGCCCTGACACCTTTAAAGGTTTTCTGTTACGTTCATCCTGCAATTTTCTGCGGAGGGACCACAGCTCCGACACAAAAGATAATCAGGATTCTGTAAACTGGAACTAGATGTAGATGTGCTGGAGACCATGGTTCTTAATGTCTGTCAAAAGCATAAAGTTAATTATGCAAGGCATGAAGTGAAGCTCTATTTGTTTAGATGTAAAGAGGTTAACTCTGAGTAACTGTTGACAATAGTCATCATCATCAGATGAATTTGCCATTAAATCTGCAGTGCTCAAAAAATGTCTTCAAGATAGCACAGGAGTAATATTCTCACTTCTGCACTACCATGTAAATTGCTTTACTTGCACTGAGAGCCAAATCTATCTCAGTTTTGCAGTTTGCTTTCCACATGGAATTTTGACTGATGTTGAGAATTTTGCACATAACTTTCAGTGCAATAGGGATCTTCTCTCAGGACTAGAGAGAAGAATTTTTCTCTGTCTGCAGGAATTTCAGTTTGTAGAGTCTGCCATTTGTAGAATGCACTCAGTGTGACAGAAAACCACTTCACTAGATCTCCTCTCTGAAGTCGGAAGGACATGGGTAGAGTGAGAGTGTGACTTCTCAAAACTCATGAGGACACAGTTCGTATTGCATCCAGGAACAGAAACATAGTGTGGCCAGGGCCTGCCACAGGGGGAGATAATCTGTGTGATGAAGAGGGAAGGGAGTTGTTGAACAAGTTAAAGGTCAAGGAGAGGAGAAATTTGTAATACACTCTACTGTAATACTAATGCCTGTTTCCTGACACACCATCAAGTTTTGGAATTATTTGGTACAGTGGGCTCTGAGTGCCTGAACTGCAGACAAATTAAACTGAGGTTTTTCTCATGCATTGGCTTTGACCCAAAGCGTTATAGACCAATTAAATCATAAAATGATCATTTGTGGAAAAAGGCATCCACCTTCTTCTAAACAGGTAAATTGTTATGCATTACACAGAATGTTTAAACACCTCACATTACTCCCACAGTTGTGTATTCCCTGTCACAGCTCATTTACCAGAAGGTGACCCCCAAAAACCTTTACTTGTAGTGTGCCCTGAGCCTTCAGTGTTTGGGAGTTCCTGTAGTAATGTCTTTGCAGTAACTGCTCTCCATCAAACAACACTTGGATCTTTACATACATACAAAACTGAAGTCACTGGCTGCTCTGTTATGAAGGAATAAATCACCCATATATCCTTCTCAGTTTTGAAAAAGGAATGTTCAGTGGAATGTTCCAGAAAAAAAAAAAAAAGGACTGGTTTCTTCTCTAGGTAACTTGACTGTCAGTTACACTGGGATTTTTTAGAAGGGCAAATGACTCACCTACAACCTTTTTTTGCATAATTTTTTATTTCTAGAGAGGACGAATAGGAAAGTTCCAATCAAATATTTAATTTGTTTTAAAGGGGCATGGCAGCAGACAAAGTTCTGGTCTATCAAATATAAAAAGACTGCCCAGAGAGCAACTAGTGATATCTCCTTCATTAGTCTTACCTGATGCTCTTTCAGCATTGCAATGTCGTGCTCCTCTGTGTCTGCAGGTTCTGACAGAAGGTGCAAATTCCACTTCCTTTGGAGAATTGTCATTTCCCTCCAAAAGCTGGTGGGCTTCTCTGGAGGGGTCATGGAGTCTTCTGGAAGATGTAGTGTCTGCTGGAGTGTTGAACAGGTTAGTGTGTGGGCCCTTGTTTGTGAGAGAAAAAAGTGGGATGAAAATTCATAATGGGACAGAATACAAAAACCAAAAGCCAAGAGGCAATTTTTTATTTTATTTTATTTTTTTTTATTTTTTTTTATAATTCAGCTTCTAGGATTCAATTAACTCCCAGTTCCAGTCTGTGATTTTGTTCAGGAGCTCTAAGAGCTAAAAAAAACCAATTTGTATCTTCAAAATTGAAATCCTGGAGGGGTTTCTTTTTCTATTTGTTTGTTCTTCATAGATTATACTATGATCTTCTGTTGTTTTCGTGTTGTTGGCCAGCATGCATGCCAAATGCTCTGTGACTTATGGACTACAAGCGAAGAGGGAGAGCTTTAGTGGAGAACTTTAAATCTATCCAACTATATCCAGCAAATTTGGAATGTTGTGGGACTCAGTGGGGCATTAAGCCTAAACTAATGCAGTTTTCTCCTGTTGTCTTCTGTTCCACAGTTAGTGAAGAATTTCTGCTGTAATGAGGGGAATGAGCCTGTTAAGTTACAGGTTTTGGCAGAACTGCAGTGATTTGTATTGACATGGTGAGTCCAGTGACTTTTGGTGTAGACTGCTACCAGTGCCTGTCCACTGGATCAAACTCTACTTTCTTAAAATATTAACCAACCAAAATACACATTGTTTGGTACTCCACCTGCATGCCCCTGTCTCTGCAGGCCAAAAGTGAATTTTCTCTGCAATGCAAATGAGAACCCTTGATGATCTGGTCTTAAAATGGCTAAAAAGGCCATGTACTGAAACGAACAAATGAAACCCCTCTGACACTGTGTCCAAACGAAAAGATAGTGTGAAACACTGGCCTAACTTTTTGTGAAACTGTAGCACACCCTGTGCTGGTGTTGGTCTCACACTGCAGACAGAGGCAGTCTCCCATGTGCCAGTGTGGGCATTCCAGGGACTGTGCTGTGGACTAGACTGGGGAACTGACCTGCCTTGAAACCCTTTTTGGAAGGAGGCTTTTTTAAAAAAATGAATTTGTTCCTCTTGTGTGGTTTGCACATGTTTGAAATTTGGGGGGTTGTTTGGTTGTTTGGTTGAAAATTGTTTGGTTTTGGTTGGTTGGTTTTGTTTTGTGGGTTTTGTTTGTTTGCTTGTTCTGTTTTTAACTCCTTTCTGTGTAAAAGATCACTCAAAAAATTCTGTTATTTAAGGAATGAGTTCTCAGAGGTGGACTTTAAATTATTCTTTCTTCTATTGGTTCACAGATACTTAGGGAAGCTTTTTCCTGAACAGCAAAATGAGATGGGCGTCTGTGGTTCACTCCAGATTACCCTGTGTGTGTCTCAAAAGCTCTGTCTTGTGCTTGGCAGAAACTGGAGGCAGTGGTTCCTATGAACTGTATTAGAGATGACATAATAGATTTTGAAGAATGGGTATGCTTTTTGGGATAGTAGAGTGTTTTATAATATTTAACATGCATCTCTTGCATCTCTACATTTGATGACACTCACTTTGTAAAAGTGAGAAAATAAAATCCAGTGCAAACTCTGAATATGACTAAGGTTTCATGTGTAACATACACTTTTAATATTACAAATTCCTATTCCTATTACAAATAGGAAGTATTAAAGTAAACAAGAGCTGTTTGTTCACTGTTTTGAATTTCACTCAGCTAGAAAAATCAGTCCTGTGACACTCACAATAAACAGCTCACTTGCTTTTTCGCTTTTTGAATTTATCTCTGAGATCCTCTTGTCAAGTGTGTATTAATAAGTACACATTCTAGCCAAAAGATAGATGTTTTATTTTTCTGTATTTACATTTTGATGCTGCTCCTGTGAATTAGAAAAAGCAACTCCTTTCCTCAGAAAATCCTTTAATGAAATTAAATAAAATATTTTTTTCCTTCTTTTAGCAACTCCCAGGGCCAGCACATTTCTAAAGTGGGTGCATCTTTGGAAAGCATACTGTTCTTGGGGAAACAGAAAACAAATAGTTTGAAAAAAGGGAAAAAGTTTCGTTGTGTGCTCTTAACAGAAAATGTTCCAGAGTTTGTCAAGTCATATATTAAAAACAGTGCTCCTGGTGACTGTATTACAGCTTGGTGGTGGTGAGGAACACTCAGTATTGTGATAGAAGTGTGAACCTACAGTCAGGTCCCACTCTGGATTCACACAAGTACCCACGTACCTCTAACTTTCAGGTCCCAGAGCTTGCTTTGTATAAGGACCAGTAGATCAGGTAAGTGCTCACTTCAGTATCAGGACACTGAAACACTGGGGTAAATGTCTGATCTGTCTCTTGCCACACAGAGCATCAGAGAGAAGGTCTTTGAGCTTTCTAACTCTCAGTCCAGCCACCTACCCAGGCTTCCACCTTGTTTCTCCCTCTGGGCTAGAAGCTCCTTTTTGTAGTGCTGGGGGCTCCAGATGTATAAGGACACAACTACAGGAAAAGTCTTTCTGCTGCAGCTGGGGAGAAGGGATGCAGCAGGTTCAGGGTCAAGTTCGCTGCTTCTCCTCACCTCACCTCCCCTGCCCCTCCATGATCCTATGCTGAAGTTAGCAGTGGTACCAATGGAGCTGTCCTGCTCTCTCTCCGTCCTCAGTTGCTCATCTCACTCCCTGTCTTGTTCCAGAATAAGTGTTTGTGCAGTTGTGAAGTGGACTGAGTGAGGATATGGACTCACACCGAACCAGAACGTTTTTCCCTGGTGCTAAATGGATCAGTGTCCCAGGTGGGGTTCCCAGCTCTCACAGGAGGGTGAGTGCAGGGACAGAAGTGGGGGGAGTGGGCTGAATACTGGACTGCTTTTTTTACAGCTGTGTCAGAGTAAGTCAGCTAAAAATTCTTGTGAAACTATGGCCTCAGACTTCATTCCAGGAAAAGTTTCCCTGGAAATGTTACTTTGATTTGATTAGGAGGACGACTAATCTGTGGGCCATTTTGTCTGAGACAGGAATTTTCCTTTGGTGGTTCACAGTGCTTGCTTCTGTTAAAAGGGATAAAGACAATAGTAAAAAAAAAAAAAAAAAAAAAGAGGGACTGAAAGGGCAAATTTGGAAAAAACCTTTTGCCATTTAGTCTTTTTTTAGGTTG